GGGTCCGGGAGCCAGCTGGGGGCGGGATGTGCGGGGAGCCGTTGCCAGAACCGCGAGGGGTGGGTCGGGGCGCGGGAGGGCGGGGCGGCTGCGCGTGGTGCGCCTGGCCCAGGGCGCGGGGCCCAGACACTGGGTAGAGACGCCCCCGCCCTGTGTCCCTGGGTCAGCCCCGCAGGCCCCGTCCAACCGCACCCGCCTCTGTCCCCCAACGAGCAGACCCTCCTGGGGCCCAGGAGGCGAGAAATGTCCCCCCCGGGGGTCGCCTCCCCGTTTGGAAACAGACTGTCCTCTGTCCGTTCTGCCCCCGCCCCTGTGCACAGGCAGGTGCCCTGAGCGCCACATTAAATAGGAAGCCATTCCGGGGGCCGAGCAAGATGCCCGTGATCAGGGGAAGCAGGGAACCCGACGTCCCAACACCCATCCCTCACGGGGACATTTCCCCAGTGTTTTGTGTTTTGTTTTGTTAGAGAGAGAAGGGGGTGGGGGGAGAGACAAAGGGAAACACGCGGATTGGCTGCCTCCTGTGCCCACCCGACCTGGGCCTGGGGAACCTGCAACCAAGGTCCATGCCCTGGACCCACGACCCTCCAGTCCCGCGCTGATGCTCTGCCCGCCCAGGGCACAGGCCCGGCTGAAGCGGCCATTTCTCTGTGAGTCTGTGCTGAGCAGCTGTGGGCTGTTGGAAGGTGTGTGAACCCCAAAGGCAATCGGAAGTGAAAGAAATGCCAGCCCGGGGGCCTATCGGTGGGTTGGCGGCGAGTGCAGAGGCCGACACTGATATTTGTCACTTTTTTTTTTTTAAATATATTTTATTGATTTTTTACAGAGGAAGGGAGAGGGATAGAGAGTTAGAAACATCGATGAGAGAGAAACATCGACCAGCTGCCTCCTGCACATCTCCTACTGGGGGTGTGCCCGCAACCAAGGTACATGCCCTTGACCGGAATCGAACCCGGGACCCCTCAGTCCGCAGGCCGACGCTCTATCCACTGAGCCAAACCGGTTTCGGCTGATATTTGTCACTTTCTCTGCAGCCTCGACCTGGTGATTCTGAAAAGGAGCCAGAAGAGCCCAGATGAAAAGCCCTGCTTCCTCTCCCTGAGCTGTGACCCCAGTGGAGGTGAAGGAATCGTTTCTGTTGGCATTTTAAGTTCAGCAAGAAATATGGAAGTGTACTTAGGAGAGGAGTACTGTGGCACCAGTAGGGGCAGGAGTGTTGGTAATGTGCTGGATACCAGGTTTGTGACTCCCCGCGTGCAGCTCCTTTCAGGGCGGGTTTCTGTGTCCCAGCTCTGGGAGCTCCTGCTTCTCTGAATTGGCCTCAGACACTAGGGGGAGGAGCCAGAAACACCAGCAGCCGGAGTTCAGGCCTCGGGGGAGGATCCCAGGACAGTCGGGGTCAGCCCTGGTGTGTTTGCAGCTGGAAACTGACAGCTGGTGGGCGGGAGCTGAGCTGGCCAGGGTCCCAGCCAGTGCCTGGGAGAGGCCTCTTCTCTGTGTAACTCGCAGGGTCAAACGGTAATCTGTCCATCAGCCGGGACTTTGAACATATCTCCTTGAAGGAAGCCCTTTCCAAACAGTGGGCAGCCCAGCACTGCCAACCAGCATACTTAACCCGCGGCTATGCTTTCTGATTTTTTTCTGATTTTTTGCAAAGAACATGTCCTAACCTCTCTTTTATGTCACTCAAAATAGGAACTGTTTTATGTACCATGCAGGTTGGAAGTAGTAGATGTGTTTATTGAGCTTTAGAATATGCTTGTGCTACAAGATTACACATTTGTTATCAAATTCAATTCTTTCATAAGCTGCTAAGTGGCAGGTGTAGTCTGTCCTCCCTTGAATTTTCCTTGGAAGCCACCACCCCTCCCACCTCACCGGGAAAACTATCTTAGGACAAGTATTGGCCTGGAAACCCTTATTTTCAAATGTGACCATTAAAGGTGATAACGTGCCCAGCTGGTGTGGCTAGTGGTTGAGCATCGGTCCACCCATAAGCTGGGAGGTCACGGTTGGATTCCTGGTCACGGCACATGCCTGAGTTGCAGGCTCCATCCCCAGTAGAGGGCAATGGGGAGGCAGTCGATCTGTGATTCTCTCTCATCATTGATGTTTCTCTCTCTTCTCCCTTCCACTTTCTGAAATAAATTTTAAACATTTAAAATAATTTATCAATTTTAAAAAGTGATAATGTGTGAAAATAAAGGGACAATTTTTATTTTTTATTTTTAGTGAACATGAAAAGATTATTTTGTACAAAAAATGTCTAAAATTGGAGTCCGCTGCACAAGCTTGTAAAATAAAGGTAAGTCATTACAAAATTGGAACTAAGTTGAAAATCGCAGTTGTTTTTGTACTGTGCACATTTGTTTTATGTTGGCTTAGTAATCCTCAATGCTCTCCCTTTCAAATTGGACCATTTGTTAGCTATGGCAACGCCATGTCATGTATAGTGTTAATACAGTTAATGCTGTTGTGCTCTTCAGCTTTGGAAACTCAGTTTAAAATCCGGTTTCTTTTGATATAAAATGTAGGTGCCAAGAAAACCACAAGCAGAGTTGGGACCAAAATACCAAAAAAAAACCCCAGGTAGAGGAGTTTCAGACCAGGGCACCAGGAAGTTAGAGATCGGGCCAGGCCAGGGCCTTCACCATGAAACAGTGTCACAGTGAAGGTGGGTGAGGGGGTCAGCCTGGGGGCGGGGCAGTGAGCTGGAACCCTGGCCCCGCCTGTCCTGTGGGCTGGTCGCTGATGTCCCACCGCTTAGCCCCAGCCCAGTGGGCAGTGCTGGGGCCGAAGGAAAGAGACCCTTGGGTGGTTCCCATCCCTGAAGTCCTGTGTTGCTGTTACTTACAGATGACAGGATTGGTTGTTCCAGGATGTGTCAGAGGCATATTCATGTTCAGGCTTCTAACGTCCTTTAAACAAGGTGATGCACGCATTGAAGAAGTGTTGAGTGCCCATTGATGCCACATACTGTATCAGGCACTTAGGAGCTAGCATCATCAAATAAGTTGGAACAAAGCCCTCGTGTTAATATTAGAGCGGACCGGACATAGTAGGTTCAAGGTGCAAAATAGGTTCCGTTTGATAGTGAGAAAGTCTTAGGGATTAAGGAGCAGGAAAGGGATCCTGTGGAGGTTGGAATGTGGGTGTGGGAGTGTAGGGAGGTGTTGGCTTACTGGTTGATGACAGTGACGTTGGTGCCGCTGAGGTTTTAGATCGGGATCTGTCTTCAGCTGTGGTCTGTGTGATCCCTGGGTGTGTGTGTCTCAGAAGGTGGGTGTTTCTGTAACTTCTGTGGAGGGACGTGCAGTGCAAAGGGTGTTTCATTCAGGGAAATCATTGGTTTGTATGGGGCTTCATCTGGGCCAATCATATATTAAAGTTAAAATAAAAATAGTAGGGATGCATGTTTCTGAGCACTTTCTCAATGGTAGACACTGGAAATTTTAACACTGATCGTCACCGTAGCAACCATGTGAAACACTGATCTCATCGCAGCAACCACATGAAATCGATTTGCTCCTGACTAAGGTTTGGCATCTGCACGCGGGCGCACACGCACACACACACACACACACACACACACACACACACGCAGAGTAGCCTTTGCTGAGCACCTGTCTGTCTGAGTCTAAAGCCTGTTCCCTTCCCACTGAGCGGCTGTGTTGTCCGGACCACAGGGAACGTGGTTTGGTTTAAAGTGTGGACAAAATGGGGCAGCATAAAGCATTGCACAAAATTTACTATTTCAGCAAACACTGCCTGGGCTCTGGCCGGCCCTGCTCTGTATTAAATAATATTAAAGCAACTTGCAGTACATTAAGCCGTCAGATTGCTATGGTTTATCTTTGATTCCTCCTATAAGTATGTAAAATGTTATTTTACATGTGATTGTGTAGTTTAAATTTTTTATTTAAATGGTTCTGAGTAGTTTTTAGACTATAACTGTTCTAGCGAAACCTAAGTGAACTTTTAGACTCTTGACTGCTTCACTGTTACTTAGGTCACAGCAGGAAGTGACCTTAAGTAGCGATTGTTGTTCCATATTGTTACTTTCCTAACTTCTGTTTTATGCCAGTTGCTCTCCTTTGGTGAAAAGCCGTGTGTGTTCGTCAGTAAAGTTGTGGTGCACGTGCGACCCGTCCCAGCAAAGTCTCCCACAAGCTCTCCTGCTCTGGGGACCAGGGTGGACCTGGAGAGGGTCCACGCCATGGTGGAGGCCATGGGGTCCACGCTGTCCCCTGGAGCTCAGCAGCTGATGAGTATGGTCAGATTCCAGCAGCAGGTACGTGGAGGGGCTTTCTTTCCAGACGCCTGTAAACTGGGTATATGGTCGCTTTTTATAAGGACACTAGAGGCTCGGTGCACGAAATCATGCACGGGGAGAGGCCCTAGGCCTGGCCTGTGATCAGGGCCGTCTTCCGCCCGCTCCCCAGTCCCCAGTCCCGCCCTGCCACCACCCACCCCGGTTCCCCGTGGTTCCCCGTTGGCCATTCAGCTATCTGAGCCTGTGGGCTTGGGGGAGGGACCGAGAGGTGATTGGTCGATTGGTCGTTCTGGTCGTTACGCAGTTATGGTCACTGGCCTTTTATTATATAGGATGGAGTGATTTAAACTTTCCTTTGCACTTTTATTATTGCTGTGACCAATCTTTCCTTACTGATGGAAAATAGCGCTGTGTAGATCTAGTCTCTGGAAAAAGTATTTTGTTGCAGAGTTCACAGCTCTCCAGGAGCTCCCTCCCTCCCTCCCTCACTCCCTCCCTCCCTCCCTCACTCACTCATTTCACTCGTGTTGATGAGCAGCTGCTCAGGGCCTAAGGCCCTGCTTGGCTCCTGTAGCCGCTCCAGGCCAGTTCCCTGCAGCCTGTCTTCAAGGGTCTCCCGAGTCCCGGGGCCCTGGGGCCGTGCGAGGGCGGGAGCCGAGGAAGAGGAAAGGCTCGAGGAAGGGCAGCGCTTCTCCAGGCCCCTTCTCAGGAGGAAGGCGGGTCAGGCAGGTGAATGGGGGGTCAAGTTCAGATGGAAAGAGTGTGACTTAAATCTCCAGGGCCAGAGGAGCAGGGCGTGGCTAGGACGGCAGAGTGCATTTCTCAGCCATGTGTCCAGGTTTGGGGTGTTTGTTGGTTTAATTCTAAATGTAACGTGGCTCCTTTGCCGTGGATTCAGGCCTTTCAGAAGGACAGTGAGTGAATAAGTGCTCCCCTGCGGCACCCTCTTCCCCACCTGCTGTGACTCCTCCTGGCGGGTTCTCTGCATGTGGACCGCTTACAAGTCCTCCCACCCAGCACGTGTGTTGTAACCTGCTTTCCCCACGCCGGGCCAACTCATTACATATGGGGACATGTGGGGAGCCCCCGGGGAAAGAAAGAAGATGACCCCAGTGCTTCTTCTTTTAAACAAGACAATGAAAGACGTCCTCCTGGGGGGCGGCTGTATTAATGGAGCGATTCCTGCAGGACAGGCCTGGTTCTCTGGGAGTGCTCAGTGTTAGCACAGCAGCTACGGAATGTCTCCTGGAAAATGCCCTGTGAGCAGGGTCACCCCTCACTGCGTGTAAACTAGGATGTTCCATGAGCAGGACTCCTGCTCTGTGGGTGGTGTGAGCAGGCTGTTCAGGACCTTCGGGGTGAACATGGGCGCGGCCAGTCCTGAGGGCCCTGGGCGGTGAGGTCCCAGGCGCTCCCTGCTTTGCTGGTGCCTGCGGTTACTTGTTTTTGAAAGTTTACTAATTTATCTCTTGTGCTTGAAGTTCAGAACTGCAGGCTTTGTGCTTGCGTTAGCGATGTGGAATGATGGGGTGGGAGCCTGTATCAAAGTGCCTGCGTATAGTTGTCATTTCATGTTACTGACTGAGGGACCGGCCCCGTTTGCTGGGAGAAAATATATGCAGTTGAGGACCCAAAACATAATCTATTAGCCTACAAACGACTGAGGCAGACAGAGCTCAAAGGGAGCTCGTGTTCGTCATGGAACATGTCTAGTCGTTGCAGGCATCACAGATTTCCCACCACACAAGCGGGAAGCGTGTCACCAGCCGGGCGTCTCCATGCCTGTGGGTCCTGGGACATCCTCAGGTTGGCGACCACGTGGGAAGTGACAGGTGATACTTAATCCTGTGGACACTACCCATTCCTGTGACTCTGGAGAGCCCACATTTACTTCCATGAGCCAGGAAGGAACTGTTAACTGCCATTGCTGTTGTACTAAGTGTGCTGGTATTTGTTTTAGCATTTTCTTGAGGAAAAACCACAGTCATGAGATGACAAGCCCGGACTGGAATGGGGTTGCCGGGTCGCGTCCTGGTTCCCACTCACCAGCTGTGCGGCCTGGGCCGGGTGACCTTGAACCTGGTCCCCTCAGCTGCTGGTGGCAGTCATGGTGGCTGCCTGCATAGGGCTGTGTCGGGGACCCAGTGGAGAATGGCCGCGGCCTGGTTCTAAATTACCGCAAACTTTCTCCGGTCATTGCTGTTGACAGCCCTATTCCCTGTTCCCTCAGCGCTGCCTTCCCCTGGGGGAGCAGCTGCAGGCGGTTCTGGGGAGCGCTGCCTCCAGGCGGGTGCTGGGCCTGTGGGCCTCGGCGCCCTCGGGAACCTGCGACCGGCCGACCTGCGCACCTGTGCCTCTCAGAGCCGGGCTGACTTCGGGACGCGGGACAGAAGACGTGACAGCTCCCGGGGATGAGAGCGCACGGCCCCCCGGGGGAGGGAACCCCGCACCCCTCGGAGAGTGGGACATTGCGCCCCAGAGCCATCCTCTCCCCGGGAGGGACCTTCAGCTCGCCACGGCGTCTTCCTTACCAAAGAGGGCGAGTGACAGCCCCGCGGCCCCTGCCCCCGAGCTGCTGCCCCTCCTCCAGGACGTGTGCGGGCAGGTGCGCCGGCTCCGTGGGGCTCAGAGTGCCGCGTGGCCGGGACACGGCCCCACGCCCAGCGAAGGCGGCCTTGGTGGTGGGTAAGTCTTTGCCTATGGACTCAGAGCGGGTGAGGGGCTGCATGGGAAGCAGCAGGCTGTGTGTTGCTGCTGGTTGTCTAGTGGCTTTTGTTGCCGTGTGGAGGTCAGGGTCATGTTTGGTCTTTAATTCCCTTTAGGATGGGAGAGCCGCCCGCCTGCTCCTACTTGGAAAAGATTCTGTCCAAGAACCTGGAGCTGATGGAGAGGAGGCTGACGGACTACCTGGACGAGCGTCTGCGGGCCCTGCAGGAGCACGTGGATGGCCAGGTGGCGCTGCTGGCCCACCTGCTGCAGACACACCTGCTGCAGAGCCCCGGCTCCCCGCCCCCGCCCCCGGGGATGCCGCTCACGCGCTGTGACTCTGGGGACAGACTCTCCAACGGAGAGAGATAGGCGCTCCCGTGCGCCGTGCATGCAGATATTTATTACCTATTTATTACAACGCGACCCAAAGCTCCGAGCCAGTGTCGATGTCATTGGAGGATCAGCATCCTACTTGCATCAAGTGACCTCAGCGTTCATTCCCTGTGCTTGTGACGTGACCCCCGTGACGTGACCCCCGGGCTGCATGAGAGTGGATGGCCTTCCTTGTGCTTGTGACGTGACCCCGTGCCCGAGTGTGAGCGTGATCGGGTCAGGAGTTATTTTTGTTCGCAGAGTTATTCACTCTTACAGAGATTTGTGTCCCTCGATGTTGTTTTAAGTGTTTAAAATTTTTAAGGCTCTCCCATGAGGTGTGTTTGATAGAAGTGTATTTTTTATCTATGAAAGACCTTATTTCCTCATCTTAGGAGGGAGAGAAATAGTGCACTGAGGATTTGGTAGTTGTTTTTCTCTTTGGTTATCTGTAAGTCGGAACCTCTGCGCTCACGGACTTGCACTGGCGCTGCTCCCAGAGAACAGGCGCAGGTCGGCCCTCTGTGCCGCCGGGGCGGTGGCGCTGGCGCTGGCTTCCTGTGTCGTGGTGACGGAAGGAAGGCCCGTGCCCCCTCCGTGGGGGTTCGTTGCTGGAGATTTGTGTTGGACGGGACGCGAGGGCGGTTACCTTGTTTTATCTCCATCCACCGGGAAGCACGGGACCCCTTGCCGCGCTGATGCCCGTCCCCAGCGCCTGTGCTGGGTGTGAGCGCCGGGCGCACCCTGAGGGCGGCGTGGGCGAGGAGATGGCTGTGCTCGCTGCCGGCTTTGTCGTCAGGAAGTGTAACCATTGCATGTGCTGAAGGGGATGTATTTGCATCTAAAAATAAACGCGTCCATTTTGGAAACCACGTGAGGGAATACAGGTGCTTTATTATCCTTGGATCTCTGCTTGTGGAGGAATCTGCTCCATTTCCGGATCCTGTACAGGGGACACGGGAGGCACACAGCAGCCACCTGCCCAGCCTTCCCTCGCCCATGGGCGTTCACGGCGCGCGGCTCCGGGGTATTTCTTTGTCATTCTCGAGGGTTCCCTCTCACCTCAAGTTGAGCCCGTCAGTCAAGTTTTATAGCTTCTGGTGTGTAGTCTCTTCATTGATTTAGAAAACGCCTCCCCAAGATTGTAGCCATATCACTACCCTCAGAGCGAGGACCACGGATGCACAGAGATGCAGGTGGTTGAAAAACCAATGCTAGGTTCTTCTGCGTGTGTCTGACAGGAGATGTGATTGGGAAGCAGTGTCCCAATGGTCTCTCAGGTGGTGTTTGCCAATGTGAATGGAATGTGTTAATGGCTTCGCTGCATGGGCTGTGCAGTCTGCACGTTAGGGCTCTGGTACCGCATCTCCGTGGCAGCGAGCAGCTGGGTCCCAGGCCCGGGGTGTAAGCCCGGGAGCCCCTTACCTGGCCCAGGTTTCATCTCTGCCTCGTCCACAGCTCCCTGCCTTGCGCCCAGGACTCTCCCCTCCTCCTTCCGCTCCTGCTGACCTGGCCCTGCTGTGCCCTGGCCTCTGCCGTGAGGAGCCAGTGCTGCCAGGGGAGGGTCCCCCCGGAAACCTTGTCCCTTCGGAGCCCAAGTCAGGCTCCAGGCCGGGAGGAGATGGACGCCTGGACGGACGGCGGGCCCTCCAGTCAGCACAGGCCACGGCTGGGGGTCCGTCCTGATCCTCGTAGAGTGCAGATGGAAGGACCGGTTCCGGGTCTCAGAGGGCTTCCCGCCAGGACACGTGTCTCTTCCGGAGACGGCGTCCCCTTCCCCGAGGCGGCCGGGATAAGAAGTTTTCATCCCCAGCGCCTGGCACGATGCTGCCTCCTGTCAAATCGCCGACGTGCCTTTTTAGTTCCTACTCCTGCCCGCCTCTGCTGCATGCGACATTACGAGCCGGTTGCTCCACGTCCCAAAGTGGGTGATGCCCAGTTTCAGCACATGGCTCACTAACGACACCAAACATCCCCGAGGCGGGGCGGGTATTTTCAATTCTGCGTTTATTCAAAAGCACATGAACGTCCTGTAGCACAAACACAGTGGGAACACTATAAAACGACTCGGATAAAACATTCTGCTAAGAAAGGTCACTCCTGCAGGTGCCATGCCCGCCGGTCAGAGCCCCTCGCTCACGTCGCAGAAGCCGGGCGGCAGGGACTTGGAGTCAGCGCACAGCTGACACTCGTCGTAGAGCTGGAGGCCAGGGTAGCAGCTGGCGGTGATGGACGAGGCTGCGGCGATCTTGTCCCTGGTGACCATGGACGGGACACTTTTTAGAACCAAACACACCGGTAGCTTTGGAGCTCTTAAGAAAAGAGACACACAGGAGGGATTAGAACCCCCTCAGCCCACCTGTGCCTGCGGTCAGGGTGCCGGGGGTCTGGGGCGGCCCAGCCCAAGCGGAAAGCTCTGCCCTGCCCAGGCTCCAGGTCACGTGCTCTACCAAGACGCCAGAGATGCCAGGCCAGACCCAGCACGAAGGGAGAGGAGCTGCCAGCGCTGCTCCCCCAGTGGCTGAGGCCCCAACTGCGGAGCCCGGGTGGGGGGCTGGCGCCTGTCAGCTGCCCCGGGGTCTGGATTGACCTAGTGCACAGCCCCCCTCCCTAGAGCAGGAGCTCCACGGCTTCTGCCAGCGAACCTCCCACATTTGAAGGGTCCTCTCCCCCCAACTGAATGACCTGCCTGAGCTCCCCTCCTTCTCTGGTGTCCCCGGATCTTCACCAGCTCGGCTCCCCACGCCTACAGGCACCTCCCTGTCCCCAAGGCCGTGGGCGATGGAGGAGGGAACCCCGGGAGCTCCGAGCTCGGGCTGGGGAGACTGACCGAGCCCGTCCTCTGGGCGAACCGAGGCAGAGGCTCCCACGCGCCTGCCCCGCGATCCACAGTCTGCAGCGCCCGGGACACGGGCAGGGCCGGCCAGGGTGTGAGTCCCCGCGGAGGGGCAGCTCCCCGAGGCCCGGGCAGCGGACAGCGCTGACCCAGAGCCGCCTGCCCGCTGGGAACCTCACTGTGAGCTCACAGCCCAGCCCCGAGGGGAAGGGCCGGGATTCCATGCTCACCTGCCTCTGCCTTTTCCCATCTGCCCTGTTCCTGACCCCGGGGGGCGGCCCAGGGCAGGGCGTGCCCTGCTCCAGCTCAGGGAGTGGCCACTCTAACCACGTCACTTACTTCAATATGCTGGTCAGTTTGAATAGAAGGCTGGTGACACAGAACATCAGCAGGACTATGGCGATCAGCAAGGCGACCCCGACGGCCGTCATGATCCTGATGTCAAACATCTTCCCGGCACCTGGGCAGGGAGTGCAGGGCGGTGACTGGCTCCCCTGCCCACAGCCCGGCTCGGCCTCAGTGTGCTGCTCCCGAGAAGGAAGCATGAACCCCCACCCGCAGGCCTATGCCTGTAAAACACGGACGGTCTCCCAGGGGGGCCCAGGGCCTCGGCCGGCCCAGCCACGTGGGGGTCGAGGTTTTATTCGTGGATGAAAAGGGACTGAAATGCAAAGTGAGAGAGAAGGAAACAGGACAGGTGGTGGGAAGGACGTTCTCCCTCTCGCAGGCAGTAACGGGCAGCTAGCGGTGAGTAACAAGCAGGCCGCACATGAGCCAAATGGTTTCACTCCCTCCACCTAGGTCTCGTGAACTCTCCTTGCTGATGGAGTCAGGACTGCCCCTTGCTGCTCATCAAACTTAAAACTATTCCAAGCACAGAACTAAGGGAACGGCTCTTTCCCGAATGCCATGCTTGACAACACTGAGCATGAGCAAACCCACTTGCCGTGCTGTTTTCAGGAAGAAAGGCCTTTAACTGTCCTCTGACAACTGTCATGCCACCTCCTGGTTTAAGGGGACTCTAGGAGCCCTTGTCACTAGACCATCCTGTCACTAGGAGACCATGGGCCTTTCTGCCATTTTTCCTCCCAAATCTTCCCAGGAAATTCAATTTGGTTGGAATAAGCAATTTGTGTAATTTAACATTGAAATGAGAACCATGGCCCAGGAAGAAAGAATAAACAATGTGACGCTGCCCGACCGGTGTGGCTCAGTTCTTGAGGGTCATCCCTTGAATGGTTCGATGGTTCGATTCCAGGTCAGGGCCCATGCCTGGGGAGCGGGCTCAATTCCCAGTAGCGGGCAGCCAATTGATGATTCTCTCATCATTGATGTTTCTCTCTCTCCCTCTCCCTTCTTCTCAGAAATCAATAAAACATGTTTAAAACAACAACAACATGACTGCCAAGCATCCTTGGAACAGTTACACCCTCGGGTAGGGAGGAAGGCCAACTAGAAAAAAATTACTTAAAGACCTTAGGAAACAGGTTATTGTATCAAACCCGTCACTTGCTACCATACTGGTCCTTACTCAGTCAAAGGCCGCGAAAGGTCGAGCCTGCCACTGGAGAAGAAGGGAGCTATGGCTTCATCCTGTGCGGAGTGCGGTCCGAGGCCCAGCCATGGTCCAGCTCCAGCTTCCGCGCAGCGGGCTGTGACATCACCGCTCGGCCCCCCGGCTCCGCCCTGGGGTTCTGAATTCTGTTCCATTGTACTTAGAGTTCAGCCCCCAGGAAGCAGAAATGCTATTTTGAATCACTGAATTCTAAGTTTTGACCTTTTCGGTTGTATTTCCCCTTATTTTCAGAATTTGTTGATCAAAAGCAAGTTTAAGATTTCAATTTTAAAATTAAAAGAAAAAGACAAATGTGGGAAGCTAAAAACTCTTAATACTTAATAGTTCAGTGCTAGCCCTCGCTGGTTTGATTAGTGGTTAGAGCATGGCCCGTGGACTAAAGGGTCCCAGGTTCGATTCCGTCCAGGTCACGAACCTCGGTTGCAGGCTCACTCCCCAGGCCCAGGTGGCAACCAATCGATATGTCTCTTTCACATCAATGTTTCCTTCTCTGTGTCTCTCCCCCACTCTCCCACTCTCTCTAAAAATAATCAATGGACCGCTTGTTTGATGGTGATCTACATGATAAGGAAGCTAAAAAATTCCTATCACATAGTGACGGCGTGACATAATTTATTTACGTTTGTGGCAATGCTGGTGTAAACAAACCTACTGCTGTTCCAGGTGTATAAAAGTACAGCACATATGACTATGTACAGTACATAGTACTTGATAATGAAAATAAACAACTATGTTATCAACTGATGTATTTATTACACTATACTTATTTATTTTTTATTAAATAAATCTTTATTGTTCAGATTATTAGTTGTTGCTTTCCCCTCCCATAGCTCCCCTCCACCCAGTTCCCACCCCACCCTCTGCCCTTACCCCCCCCCCCCACTGTCCTCATCCATAGGTGTATGATTTTTGTCCAGTCTCTTCCCACACCCCCCACACCCCTTTCCCCCTGAGAATTGTCAGTCCACTCCCTTTCTATGCCCCTGATTCTATTCACCAGTTTACTCTGTTCATCAGATTTTTTATTCACTTGATTTTTAGATTCACTTGTTGATAGATATGTATTTGTTGTTCATAATTTTTATCTTTACCTTTTTCTTCTTCCTCTTCTTAAAGAATACCTTTCAGCATTTCGTATAATACTGGTTTGGTGGTGATGTACTCCTTTAGCTTTTTCTTATCAGTGAAGCTCTTTATCTGACCTTCAATTCTGAATGATAGCTTTGCTGGGTAAAGTAATCTTGGTTGTAGGTTCTTGGTATTCATCACTTTGAATATTTCTTGCCACTCCCTTCTGGCCTGCACAGTTTCTGTTGAGAAATCACCTGACAATCGTATGGGTACTCCCTTGTAGGTAACTAATTGTTTTTCTCTTGCTGCTTTTAAGATTCTCTCTTTGTCTTTTGCCCTTGGCATTTTAATTATGATGTGTCTTGGTGTGGTCCTCTTCGGATTCCTTTTGTTTGGGGTTCTCTGCACTTCCTGGACTTGTAAGTCTATTTCTTTCACCAGGTAGGGGAAGTTTTGTCATTATTTCTTCAAATAGGTTTTCAATATCTTGCTCTCTCTCTTCTTCTGGCATCCCTATAATTTGGATGTTGGTTTGCTTGAAGTTGTCTCAGAGGCTCCTTACACTATCTTCATATTTTTGGATTCTTTTTTCTTTTTGCTTTTCTGGTTGGGTATTTTTTGCTTCTTCATATTTCAAATTTTTGACTGGATTCTTGGGATCCTCTTGTCTGCTGTTGGATCTCTGTATATTATTCTTTATTTCAGTCAGTGTATGCTTAATTTCTAGTTGGTCCTTTTTCATATCCTCGAGGGTTTCACTAAATTTATCGGCAGTTTCTAGAAAATTCTTGAAAAACCTTATAACCGTGGTTTTGAACTCTATATCCAGTAGTTTGCTTTCCTCCATTTCTGTCATTTGTGATCTCTTTGTCTCCTCATTTTGGCTGCTTCCCTGTGTTGATAGAGTGGCTTTGTGTGCTAGGTGTCCTATAAGGCCCAGTGGCTCAGCCTCCCCAATTACCTGAGGTGGACACTCTTGGTGCACCCCTTTGTGAGCTGTGTGCACAGTCTTGTAGTTAAGCCTTGATTGTTGTTGGTATCACTGGGAGGAATTGACCTCCAGGCCAATTGGCTGTGCGAATCAGCTGTGTCTACAGTGGGAGAACTTCTGTGCTGGAGACACCCTTATGGGGCAAAACTTGCTTCAGTGGGGCTTTGGTGCTCACTGAGTCTGCCCCCTGAGTGTGTCCCTTATGGATCTGAGGAGTTGTAATCTGGATGGTCCCAATCTGACCACTGGGTACACTGGCTCTTGGATCTTTAAAGGGGTGCTAATTTAGCATCTGCCTGAGGCTACCCAGCAGGAGCTATGGAGAGATCTGCAGATTCCTCTTCCTTGTTTCGGGTTTGGAGGTGCCCAGATGAGGCCGAGCTGTGAAGCAATGCAAGCTGCTGTGGGGCCTTGAGCCTTCTTTTGGATGTTCTGGGTCTCACTGACCCAGCTGCAGTTTGTTAGGTAATTTTAGATTGCAAAGGGCCAGGCCTTTCATATGCAAAAGCCTCTGCTTGCAGCTTGGGTGGGGCGGGGTCTCAGGGAATCAACAGGGCGGAGCAAGCAGCTATGGCTGGTCCTCAGCCCTACCCCAAGAGGCCCCATGTCTGTGTCCCGCGGTAGTCACTGAAAGCACCTCTGAGAGAGAGCCACCCTCGAGTTCCGCCCGCTGCCAGACAGACCAGTTTCTCCCCGTATGAGTCTGGGTCCTCAGAGACTCGCCCGGAAGTGGAGTTCAGAGCCCTCAGGAGCTTGAGACTCCCTCCAGACTGAAAAAGACACATGCGTCCTCCGTTGCCAGCCTTTTCCACGCGCGCGCCTCCGTACCTCTGCACTTTACTTCCGAACCTCCTCTGAGTCTCAGTGTGCTTTTCTCTTTCCTTCTAGTTGTAGAATTTCCACTCAGCCAGCCTTCCTGTGGTTCTGGATGATGTCTGTTTTGTCTTTTAGTTGTATTTTTTGAAGTGGTTGTGTGAGGCAGCAATTTCAGGTGTTTACCTATGCCGCCATCTTGGTTTTCTATACTTATTTATTTAACATATTTTTATTGATTTCAGAGAGAAAGGGGAAGACATAGAAACATCAATGATTAGAATCATGGATCTGCTGCCTCCTGCAAGTCCCACACAGGGGATCAAGCCTGCAACCCGGGCCTGTGCCCTGACCGGGAATCGAACCGTGACTTTTTGGTTCCTGGGTCCACGCCCAAGCACTGAGCACGCCGGCTGGGCCTGTATTATACTTGCAGTCATTACTTTAGGATGTGCTTTTTCTACTTTAAAGAGAATTGGAGACAAAACAGCAGCCACATCACGCGGGCAGCAGCCTCATGCATGTTGTTTACTGAATCTCTTGATTGCATCATTCTCTCGCGCTTCGTTTCGTCTCGTGTTGTTTTCCACAGGAACACGCTGTGCAGGTGTGTAGCCAGGGGCCACAGGCTGGACCATGGAGCCCAGGCGTGCAGCAGGCGGTACCGTCCAGGCGTGTGGAGGTGCACTATCCTGTTCACACAAGGATGAAACCACCCAAGGATGCCACTCCTCAGAGTGAGCCCTCAACGTTCTGTGCACACGACTGTGCTGACTGAATGTGACGGCCCTTCAGCACCAACACAGCAGAGGGGAGGGGAGAGCGACTTTCACATTTACTAGGACAGTAATGATGTAGGGACACGTGCCATTCTTCCTGTTTAAGGAGACAGAACAGAAGAGCAGAAAGAGGGAGAGAAAACTGGGCACCCATAGGCCAGGCTGGTGCTGGGACATCATGTCCAAAACATTATCCCCTTTTCTCCCCATTTTACTGAGTTTCCAGAGTGGACCAATTATTTTTAGATGCAAATACATCACCTTCAGCACATGCAATGGTTACGCTTCCTGACACGAGGCCACCACAGAGAACGGCCATCTGCCCGCCACACGCCTCACCCAGCGCGAGCCTCGTCGCTCACACCCACCACAGGCTCTGGGAGGACCCGGCATCAGCTCGGCAAGGAGGGTCCCCGCTTTCTGGGGGGAGGGACAGCACGATAGTCTCTCGTTTTGCATCAACCGCTAAATCTAAAATAATTCTGACAAAGAGGCCAGTTTTGATTTTACTTTCCTTCCACAGCTACAATAAGAAAGAACATAAAAAAATGGCCCCAATGGACACTAATTTTACAAATGCCAAACACAACTAATTTCTTACTGAGAAGAACAATATAAAATATAACCCGTGATCTGAAATAAAAGGCTGCAAGTCTTAATACCTGGTTTTCCAAGAACAATCAATTAGGAAAACAAAAACCAAAATACTCTAACCATTTTCCCCATAACCCTAAAATATAGGGTCTTTACATAAATTAAAACAGTGCATACTTCAAATACATACACAATACACACCAAAGAACTATAGTAGAAATCCTTAAATGTTTTAAAGATTTAAACACAGAAGTATGAACTCTGCAAACAAAAATAACTCCTGACCCGATCACACTCACACTGGGGCACGGGGTCACGTCACAAGCACAAGGAAGGTCATCCACTCTCATGCAGCCCGGGGGTCACGTCACGGGGGTCACGTCACAAGCACAGGGAATGAACGCTGAGGTCACTTGATGCAAGTAGGATGCTGATCCTCCAATGACATCGACACTGGCTCGGAGCTTTGGGTCGCGTTGTAATAAATAGGTAATAAATATCTGCATGCACGGCGCACGGGAGCGCCTATCTCTCTCCGTTGGAGAGTCTGTCCCCAGAGTCACAGCGCGTGAGCGGCATCCCCGGGGGCGGGGGCGGGGAGCCGGGGCTCTGCAGCAGGTGTGTCTGCAGCAGGTGGGCCAGCAGCGCCACCTGGCCATCCACGTGCTCCTGCAGGGCCCGCAGACGCTCGTCCAGGTAGTCCGTCAGCCTCCTCTCCATCAGCTCCAGGTTCTTGGACAGAATCTTTTCCAAGTAGGAGCAGGCGGGCGGCTCTCCCATCCTAAAGGGAATTAAAGACCAAACATGACCCTGACCTCCACACGGCAACAAAAGCCACTAGACAACCAGCAGCAACACACAGCCTGCTGCTTCCCATGCAGCCCCTCACCCGCTCTGAGTCCATAGGCAAAGACTTACCCGCCACCAAGGCCGCCTTCGCTGGGCGTGGGGCCGTGTCCCGGCCACGCGGCGCTCTGAGCCCCTCGGAGCCGGCGCACCTGCCCGCACACGTCCTGGAGGAGGGGCAGCAGCTCGGGGGCAGGGGCCGCGGGGCTGTCACTCGCCCTCTTTGGTAAGGAAGACGCCGTGGCGAGCTGAAGGTCCCTCCCGGGGAGAGGATGGCTCTGGGGCGCAATGTCCCACTCTCCGAGGGGTGCGGGGTTCCCTCCCCCGGGGGGCCGTGCGCTCTCATCCCCGGGAGCTGTCACGTCTTCTGTCCTGCGTCCCGAAGTCAGCCCGGCTCTGAGAGGCACAGGTGCGCAGGTCGGCCGGTCGCAGGTTCCCGAGGGCGCCGAGGCCCACAGGCCCAGCACCCGCCTGGAGGCAGCGCTCCCCAGAACCGCCTGCAGCTGCTCCCCCAGGGGAAGGCAGCGCTGAGGGAACAGGGAATAGGGCTGTCAACAGCAATGACCGGAGAAAGTTTGCGGTAATTTAGAACCAGGCCGCGGCCATTCTCCACTGGGTCCCCGACACAGCCCTATGCAGGCAGCCACCATGACTGCCACCAGCAGCTGAGGGGACCAGGTTCAAGGTCACCCGGCCCAGGCCGCACAGCTGGTGAGTGGG